CTCCCCCTCACCCCCCTTTTTATTTCTCGAATTTTTGATCTGGGTAGAACTATATTGACTCGCAATTAGTTGCCTTTTTTTTTCCATGTTGTTCTTTTAATGACTGAGGGCTACATTTTGTAATCTCTTCTTTCTCAATAGGTTCTACGTGGTGATAATAGTGCTCTTGCAAATGACATCCGCAAGGAGATGAAGGTATGATATACTCAATTGTTGTCACTTAATCTTTAGCTTGTCCAAGATTCAGAGGAAGTTAACTCTCAGTATAAGGATTTCTTTTGGAAGTTTGAATTATGATAGGTTTAAGATATCCTTTTTCCTATTCTGCAGTTCAGTAAGGTCTGACTGATTTTGTGTATCTACTTTTGATTATTCTCTGTTGCCTTGTCCCATTTGTTTCATGATGGATTCTGCAGACATTGAATGGAAAGTTATTAAAAGCTAAAGATAGAAATGCAAAGAGGGATATCAGGAGGGAGCTCAAGTCTCTCTCCAAAGAAGAGCGTAAAAGGCAGCAGCTAGCAGTAACAGATGTTCTTAAGAATGCGGATGTAGTCCTGACAACATTGACTGGGGCATTGTCCAAGAAGTTGGACGGCATGTCATTTGATTTGGTTATTATTGATGAAGCTGCTCAGGCATTGGAAATAGCATGCTGGATTGCTTTATTGAAGGTGAACATGCTATCACTGATGTCTAAATATCCATTCTATGGATCAATTTTTTGCTAGATTCTTTTTGATGTTAAGAAACTGTCAATCAGTTCTTTAGGTAACTCCTGCTAGACTATTGATTAATATAACATCAACTTTCTCTATATATGAATGGATGTAGGAGAGTGAGAGTTGAGTTGTAAGTTCTCTTACACAATATAAGTAGTAAATCCATGTAATTAGCTGAGTTAGCAGACGGGCATCTGAGTTTGAATTTGCAGGTTTGCCCAAAGGTCAAAAATGAAAAATGAAAAATGAAAATGAAAGATCTTCTGCTAAGTTTTTGAACTTGCCTGTCCATTTTCTGGAATATGACATATGAGACCTATACATCTAAGACACAGCCTGCATAACTGGAAGGACCTTCTGTGTTGCCAGAGAGGTACATAAAAAATTCTCATAATAAGCAAGTGGGTTTTTGCTGGTGGGGCCACACCTTGCCTCTTGCCATGGACAAGTAATTGGGTCATTTTTATTGTGCTCAAGACTGATTACTTTAAGATATTTATTTATTGGACATACCTTATGTGAGATAAGTCATTAACATCCTTGTGGAATGAAGTATCATCAAGTCAAAGATAATACTTTACTTCAGCCTTGTATATAGAGTGTCAGCACTTTTGCATTGGTTTGCTTCCTTGTCACTGAGTGATTAGCTATATCTTGTGAATTTAGATTTTTTCTTATAGAAACAGTCAAACAACTTTATTGGTTGGAGGTCTCTTTTAAACTTTTTATGTTATGGTCTTCCTCCTATCCCACTCACTTCTCTCTAGTGTTGGAGGAGGAGGTTTAGGTCTGTGGATTCTTAACAAATCAAGAGAAAATGATAAAGAAGCTAATCAGAAGTAGCTTAACAGGCTATTCTAAAGCCCTTATGGATTAACTTCTCCTGATACTATTGTTATTCAATATTTTGGGTGTCTCGCATATGTTGGTGGCTTTGTGAGTTGCACTTTGGGTTAATGTGGTTCGATTTTCTAATCAATGTAGCAGTTGCTTGTGCTCTTACTGTTCCATATTTCTGAAAAATCTGTGTATCTAAAAGCAAAAGGCGACAAGATTCATGGAGCTTGAAGCGAAAGTGAAAAGTGAAGCACCCTCTTCTTTGAAATGAAATGAAAAATTTACATAAAATAAAAAATTACCAACATTGTATGAATTTAGTACTACAATACTAAAATTGCAATTAAAATATATAATAATTCGAATATTAATCCAACTCCTCAAAGCTGAGATTGAAAGAACTTTCCGTTTTTTTGTTTGATCACCTTGCGCGCCATTGTTTTAAGTGCACATTTTCGAAGCGTGCGGCTTCATCCATGAAGTAATAACCGCTCGCTTTACATCGCTTTAAGCAATAAAGCAATGGCTTTTAATAACACTGAACAAGAAATAGAAGAAGTGAAAAACAGATGAAAAAGGGATCATATTTAATTATCAACTCTGGAGCAGACTAGTAAAGCTAATGATGTGGTTCCTTGCTTACAGGGATGCAATGGCTTTTAATAACACTGAAAAAGAAATAGAAGAAGTGAAAAACAGATGAAAAAGGGATCATATTTAATTATCAACTCTGGAGCAAACTAGTAAGCTAATGATGTGGTTCCTTGCTTACAGGGATCAAGGTGTATATTGGCTGGAGATCATCTCCAGCTTCCTCCAACCATTCAAAGTGTAGAAGCTGAGAAGAAAGGACTGGGAAAGACACTTTTTGAACGTTTAGCAGATTTATATGGAGATGAAATCACGTCTATGCTCACTGTTCAGTACCGCATGCATGAACTGATTATGAACTGGTCATCCGGAGAGCTGTATGATAATAAGGTGCTAGGTCATTTTTAACTGTTGGTTGAAAATAAAAATGTTCCGTCATTATTAATTTTCTACTACACTCTAATGTAATAATATCAATGAAACATATTGGCACCTAATTTTATCCAAACTTTTCTGCTGCATTTTTTATTGTAGATTGAAGCCCATTCAAGTGTTGCTAGCCATATGTTATATCACCTAGAGGATGTGAAGAAAACACCTTCCACAGAATCAACCCTTCTGCTCATAGACATAGCTGGGTACTGGCACTTCATCTCAATTTTCTCTCCCATTTCAAATAGGAAAGTTCTAAAGTTGAAAGTCGAGGTGGTCTGGTACCAGAACGAAAATCTGTGTACGTGTAGAAATTCTACCTGTAACTTCTATGCTGAGGTCTTAACACTATATATTTCAGGTGTGACATGGAAGAAAAAAAGGACGAGGAAGATAGCACATTGAATGAAGGTGAAGCTGAGGTTGCCATTGCCCATGCAAAGAGACTAGTCGAAAGCGGAGTCCGAGCTTCAGATATTGGATTAATCACTCCTTATGCTGCACAGGTAAGTGTGATTTAACAGTAAAAAGATCAAGCTGGTTTCAAGTTTGAGTTATACTAAAAATGCTTGTGCAGGTCGTTTTCTTGAAAAAGCTCAAAAGCAATGAAGACAAATTAAAAGAAATGGAGATCTCGACTGTTGATGGTTTCCAGGGTCGAGAAAAAGAAGCCATTATCATTTCTATGGTCCGATCAAACTCAAAGAAAGAGGTACTCTTCACAATTGTAGGAACCCTCATGTATAGCTAAACTGCTCATTCTGGGTAACAACATGGTGAATCTAATATGAAAACATTTCATGATTAGGTGGGATTTCTTAGTGACAGAAGGAGAATGAATGTTGCTGTGACACGAGCAAGGAGACAGTGCTGTCTTGTATGTGATACTGAGACAGTCAGTGGTGATAAATTCTTGAAGAGGTTGATTGAGTACTTTGAGGAGCATGGTGAATATTTGAGTGCTTCGGAGTACGGAAATGAGTAGTGTTGTGTAGTTGGAAGCATCATTATTAGTTGCCTCTTTTCAGTGCTGCAAACAGTCAAGAGAGAGCTCCAAAAACTGTTGCTGCTTATAATTTGTAGCTGTAGGTTATAATCCGGGAGCAGGCAATCGGACATGAAATGTCTAAATCACCTTTCTTGTATGCTCTGCTGGCTATGTAGGTTGGATGCAGTATCATGGAGATCTCATTTTTTATGTGAGGCAAATTTTGACTTGACAATGTACTATGTGGTTGTACATTCACTTATATAACTTTATTGTGGGAGAAAAGTGATGAGCAGTTTAGAGTGTTTATAATCTTTGGAAATATCAAGGGGCATGTCAATGCATTTCGTGAAGAAGCTAACTTGAAACTCTGAAGCTCTTTTATTTAGGTTCTCTGTTTTGCCTATTGGCACATTATGAGACTGCTGAAATACAGCTTGTCATCAGACATCTCAGAACACACGGGAATAGTATCTGAGTATTATTTAGCTTGTTAAAGTCAGCAAGTACAAAAGATTTCAAGATCACTGTAAGGTATATTGTTGGATCGTGTTAAGTAATTTCTGTTTTACTGTAGTTTTCTTCGAATAAATTATTAATTACTCACTAATATTACACTTTGCTGTTGCAGATGACATCATTGGAGATTGTTCATTATGTCCGAGGTAAAAGTTTTCCAACTTTCTTCTCTCAAATACTCGTGAAAGTTGAAACAGACTTGAGAGTCTTTCTTCGTCTGAATACTCTGATAACTTTAGATGTCATTTCATCAGATAATTTTCTATTGCTTCTCTACTCTGCTATAGCAATTTTCTGTATAGCTAATTTGGCTCTGGAAAGTAGAGTTTAAGCATGTGGTCCATGCCCCTGCTATGTCTGTATATTATCCTATTTTTGACCTCAGACACAAATCATGACACCTCATTATATAGCCTTGGCCCCCTGGAGAAAATGATGGTGTAGTGTGAGTTGATTTTTTTGTGCTAAATTGCTTCTACCTGGTAAGGACTTATCTATACCATATTAAAAGCACGAAGGCCCTAAGCGAAATGTCGTTTTTTAACCTTTAAAAATAGAGTTCATACTAGACAATATAGTCATTTAATTATTTTTCTAATATTTAGGACTTTTAAATTAACGAATATTTTGCTTATTAAATCTTTCCTTATTTGAACTATTATGTAGGAAATCCTAATGTTTAGGACATCAAAGTTAATTAAATTTTACCTTTTATATATTTGAACAAATAGCTAATTCGAGAAGATTAAAAATCTTCCTAGCAAAAATAGACTAGTTTTAATAAGAGAATAAAATGACTTAGATTTCAGCTAGAATTAATCATAAATGTCCAGAATTTTAAAAGTGACAACCTAATTGAGTGCAACTTACATTTTTCTTTAACGTTAAAGACCTTTTCATTTGTTTCTATTCCTTTTGTTCATTTACGAACGAAAGGCCATAATTTTATACTTGCAAATTGCAACAAATATTAATTTAACATTTTAATTATAAATGCGATTAAATTTCATATTTTAAATACATGAATTAATAATGACATTTATAAATGTAATTACATGAGATACAACCAATAACATTTATGTACCTAATAAAATAATAATAGAAATATAATCACAACTTTTATTACTACGAGTTCTGTTTTTAACCTCAAAATATTTTAAAATTTATATGCACTTAATTAATAAGTTATAATAATTATTTTTAGCTACAAGCTATGTAATGAGTGAAAAGGGATACATGTGCAAAATATATTTTTAAAAATCTATCTATTTACACCATTATAAAAGCATGAAACTCTAACACGTTATGATTTTCATGGAAGTTTTTGTTGTCAAACCCTAAACCCTATGTCAGTTAGCTGATCCTGTTTGTGTTTTCTATGATGAACTTACGAACATTAGTTTTCCAACATCAGAACTCTTAAATCTTCAAGAGTTACGCTATTTTGCCAAAACAAAAAAGGGAATATGAAAAAAAGGAAGTGGTGATAATTTGTGAAATTGAAGTAATGAAATTATAAAACTTGACAAAATTAAAGTCGAATATATTGATTGAGGACTTTTATGGGCATATTTTCTTCCTTTATTGAGTTAGCTAAATAAGATCAATAATCATCATTTTCAGGAGCGTATACCTTTTCTTTTAACTTTTATTTATAGTTAACTCAAATATATCTTTAATATAATATTTATGTAAATTTAAAAATTTTATACTCATTGAGATGAGATAAACGCGCAATGGATCTTATACGCAAGGAGCAGTTTGTACATTTATCTAACAATGACGTGTGAATACTAAATTACCTAATTTTATAAGCTCTATATTGATGGGAGGAGCTCACCTCATCATTTGCATCATTCAGTTTCCCTAGCTGTTGAAGGAATTCATTCAGATAAATCTGAGGCTTCTCGTCACTATCTATAACATTGTCTTTAGGTGAACATTCAACTTCCTATGCCTTTCCTTCTGGAATTTTCAAGGGTGGTTGTTCCCTTGTATTGTGCATCTCATTGTTAAGATCACTGGTCAGTGATCTTGAGCTTGAACATGATGCTTGACAGAATGCTTCTAGGGCCCACGTTCATCGTTGAACACCTAGATACTTGCACTATGCGTTTTCTGGGGCCCGCCTCTTCCTCTTGCTGGTCCTTTCTTCCATGGTTTTAAAGGTATTCTTCTGTAATTTTCCATAGTAGAGCTGGCTGAGATAAAAGATGTTAGCACAATAAAGACTGGTTGGACGATGTGGAGTGGTGATAAATTGGTAAGGCACGGGATATCTATAGTATCAATCGTAGTTTGGTTTAAGTTTGATCACGTTTGTAGAAAGTCATAAGAGCCAATGTGATTTTCGGGCCTTTAGCATACACTAGATAATTCAATGTCAACACTATTCTGAGTTGTGAAATCTTTTCATTTGTTTATTTCCTTTTTCAATCCTGTAACAATAGCTGCTGCTTTCGTTGTTTAATTTTTTCTTTCTTCATTTAGGTGATACATACAGTATGGCACATGTATGAGTTTCGTGGTAAGACTTCCATCAATGCTATTGAGCTGTATGCTCGTTGGCAAAAACATGAAAACTAGCTCCACTTTTTTCTGAAGCAGATGTTACCTCATTTCCTTTGTGGCAAATTCCTGTTGATACCACAGCTGAATGCTTGTTTACAAAAATATCATGAGAATGTGCTCCACTTTTCTTAAGAAGTACAGGTTCCTCTGATATTCGTTTGTTTTAGATCTTTTGGTTCCATAAGCCAAATACTTTTAATTAATCCTGTTAGGTAATTTTATCTGGAGTGACTTCTTTCACCTATGGCCTTTGCCAAAAATGAAGCATGGAATTCCAGGCGTCATATTTGATACTTCCACACATAGCATGAAGACCCCTTAGTCGCTGAGTTGACTAAAGATTTAAACTCTTAATTTTTATGACCAAATTAGCTCGATCGAGTTGATTATGTTCTTGTATGAATGGATCTTTAGGCTTGTCTAAATTTCGCAGTAAAGATCCTATTTTTCACATATAGGTCATCCGCGGCTGGTAATTTTGCAGCTTCTCAGTCACTAGAACTTTCAAATTACTTACATTCAGATTAGGAGTGGCAAATGTGCGGGTCGGGTCGGATATGGTTTGGATCGAAAACAGGTAATAAAAAAACGGATAAATTATCCGATCCGGCCCATATTTAATACGGATAAAAAAACGGGTTAACCGACGGGTAATATGGCTAACCATATTATCCATGACTTATTGCATATGATCACACCGTGTTGGGGTAGGATGGATGAAGTGGAGGTTAGCATCTGGAGTCTTATGTGACAAGAGAGTGCCAACGATACTCAAAGGTAAGTTCTACAAAGCGGTGGTTAGACCGGCCATGATGTATGGGGCTGAGTGTTAGCCTGTTAAGAACTCACATATCCAAAAGATGAAAGTAGCAGAAATGAGGATGTTGAGGTGGATGTGCGGGCACGCTAGGATGGATAAGATTAGGAATGATGATATTCGGGAGAAGGTGAAAGTTTTTCAAATATTAGTGAAAGTGATGCACGGTTTTTCTACCTTTTTTTTTTTAAAGAAATAGTTTTGAGAAAAAATGTGCAAAACAATGAACCTTATTAAAATAAAAAATTACATATATACCTTTAAAAATATGTTTTTTCAATTAGCCTACTTTTATTTTCAACTATCGGTTCATGTCCATGTTTGTGCTTCACAGGTGGGAGATTCTTTATAATCTTGACATCACAGTAGGATCTATGGGTGTCAATGATTCGGTTCGACCAGTTATTTTATAAATTTATATCATACTAATTTTTCGGTTACTCTATTTTGTATAATTAAAATTAGATTTTTCAAAACAGTCCCAATCATCTCGGTTTTTCTTTGGTATCGGTACAGTTCAGTTAATTTTCGATATTTTTCTGAAAATATCATGTAAGATTCGCGAATACAAGTTAGAACGCGAGAAGATACGTACTTACTTAAGAATTTGGCAAAACTCTCTATACATTTTTACAATTACAAGACAATGAATCAAGGAAATATAAAAGATAGCCAGAATAGAGATTTATCCTGCTATTCTACTACAACATAAGAGATAAGCAAACACAAAAGAAATATAGATCAACGAGTTGGAATACACCAATCAAGATTGAACTGAAGAATAAAGTCTATTAGAACTTTAGAAGATTAAGTATCCAATAAGAAAAATCCAAATCATACGAGAAGAAAGATATTCAAATACCTTTTAATTTGCTACACAAGATCGTTGGAATACCTATAACTTGCTACTCAAGATGCTAGCTAGAACTAATTTAGTTTTAATAGGAGTTGCATAATAAGTTTGAGAGTTGAAACTTTGGGTTTAATTGCTTGTTGAAATTCAAAAATAGCCAGATTTACAAGTGGTCATTCAAAATAGCCACATTTTCAAAAGTAATCGAAATTTAGCCACTTTTTATGTAAAGATAAATCTAAACGAAAATACTGTTCGAAATCCGTAAAATACCCCAGCATAATATACTGGAATTTCAGTATAGTATACTGGAGTATACTAGAATTCCATTATATTATACTGGGAGTTCCAGTATAATATACTAGTCCAGCATAATATGCTGGAAGTTCATACACAAGTGCTCCAATCTCCAACATATTATGCTGGAACTTTCCGTGTGTTAGAATTCCAGCATAATATGCTGGAAGTTCATACACAGGTACACCGATCTCCAGTATATTATGTTGAAACTTTCCGCGCTGCAACAAAATAGTGACTATTTTTCAATGACTTTGCAAACGCTGGCTATTTTTGAATGACCAGTCCGAAAACTGGCTAGTCCATGCTATTTTCACCCGGTAAACATTTCCACAATCACAAAGCCCAAGAACAAAATAGACGTTTTGTTATTTTTAAACTTAATTATGTAAAATATATTTTTCTTATATAAAATTATTCGGCCTATTCAATATTTTTATGCTTTATTTTTGCAAAATTAAAAACCTACCTTAATTATCGATACGGTTATAGATTTATATATAAAAAAACTACGATTTAATTGAAAGAAACCTAATAATCGATTCGATTCGGTTGGGCAATCGGTTTTTAAAGATCGATTGACACCCGCAGGATCATACAAGTTGGTTGTACTAAACTAAGGACATTACTATCTTACGATCTATGCCCCCACAGGGCAAAAAACTACATGAACAACATGTAATTCTTCACTAGCTTTATAGCTCAATTCACAATTTCACATATCACTAAACCTGGTAAAGGACATAGCAAACTATTTAAGCCATTCTATAGCCACCTAGGGTCAAAGATTTACAAAAAATAATGTGCAACTATTGGCTAGCATATCACTGAACTTGGTAAAGGGGCATAGTACACTATTTTTAAGCCTTTTCTTTACCCACCAAGGACAGAAAATTACCAGAAGTCCAGAACAATGTACAATGTGCTTGGCTAGCCTCATTGCTAAAATGCCAATAAACCTGGTAAAGGACTCGGTCTGCGGCCCCCTAAGATTCAGAATCCTAGTTTGGGGGATCAGTCCTAGCTGGTAAAATCTTAAAAGGGGACCGTCTGAGACCGATCAGTTCCAGATTCCAAAATCTTCTTTCATCTATCCGAAAAACTTTGAAAATATATACACTCCGTCCTGCAGTAGTAGCAGAAAACACTAATAAGAAACAATAGGTACAGAGTGCTAACTACTTTAAACTTTCTGTTATTAGGTGTTAAGGCATGTAGATATCATGCGGAGTCCCCTATTAATCCTTAAAAATAAATAAAAGCAGAAACAAAGCTGAAACAAATTGTAACTCTCACGTAAAACAAAAAAAATTAAACCATTGACCTTAAAATTTATGAGTGAAATAAAGTATAGCATAGCTTCTCTTTTACTAGAGCAATTGGGTGCTTTGCAACGACAGTACAGAGGACAGAACTAGCATAGGAAAACAGAAAACAGAATAAAAAGAAAACTTTTAGATAAAAAGAAGATGCAAGTACCTTTAGTGCTTCTTCCTCTACTTTTTCGATGGAGGTGCTTCTGCCTCACTTGAGGAATTGCAAGATAGGTACTGCAAATCTAAAGAAACTAAATACTGTATTATCACAATGCTCTAGAAAATGATTAATGCTTCTCCATGATCAAGGTGCAGAGGGGAAAATAAGAAGAAAAATAACAAATGAAACATCACATATTCCAACGGCGATAACGACCATAACACTGTTTCAGTTAAGCATAAAGAGATTCTTATGAAAAAATATCTGCATGGTGTTCATTTAAACACTGCAGATCCTGAAAAGCTGAAGAAGAATGATGAATCTTTTGGAAGAATAAACACACTAACCAGATGGTTTTGCAAACTTGAGCAGTTTTCAAGTGAAAGACTTACTAGTTCTTGTCTGCGTTCCTGAATCGCACACAATATTTGGAAGCGGTCACATCTTCATCTTCAGAACTTTCTTCTACAAAAGAAGTCTGTCCGCGCACAAGTTCAGGAGGTGCAAAGGTCTCTGTTTGAGGTGAGCCAGTCTGTGCAACCTCAGCATTCGGAGAGCTTTTACAGACTGGAGCGTTTCCTGGTTCTTGGACCTCATTCAAAGAGTTCTTACTGCTGTTCTCATTGGGACACAATTCTTCTTGCTCTCTGGACAGCTTCTGCTTTAATCTATGCAATCTGGGTGGCGATTTCTTGGATTTTTGTCCAGCTGCCACGGGTTCATGAGGCACAGACGCCCCTGGTTGAGGTGAAGGCATCTCCATAACTTCACTGTCCAAGGAACTTCTACTGACTGGAGCACTCCTGGGTCCCGTGACTTTATTCAAAGATTCCTTAATGTTATTATCACGGCACAGTTCTTCATCCTCTCTAGACTGATTCTTCTTTATTCTATGTGAGCTACGTGAGGATTTCTTTGATCGTCGCCTAGCTCCAACACCAACGAATGAAGCCAAATCTTTCCTAGCAAGCGAGGCCATCTTTTTGCCCTCCAGGTACTCAGAAATTGCTTGAGAATATGCACAAAAGGGGCAATAGAAGTTTCCTTCATTACCGAAGCTGGGGACAGAATCCAAGCAGCTCTGATGAACCACCAAAGGGCAGCTGCCTGAACTACAAACCAACAGTTGCCCACCTTCATTACACTTCACACAGAGATTGAGCTCTCTACCATTTTGAGTTGCTAAGGAATCTTGACCCTGAGTGCATTGAGAGCAGTTAACGAAATCATCTCTCTTTGCTGAAAGGCCAGTCTTCTCATTGTGATATCCATCACTGTCACTAGAGACCTCAGGTTTATCATCTTCCATAGCATTATTTTTGGCTCCTTTAGAAGGTTCATCTTTGAATAAATCTCCCCGATTGCACTCCCGATGTTCTTCAGTTCCATGAATGCGAGAATCTTGATGAACTACCTGCTGTGATGAGCCACTGGATGTTCTCAATTCAGCAGAAGGTTTGCTGCTACTTCCAACATTTTGAACCTTTCCCTCAGAAATCACTTTTTGAGGCAAGAGCTCATCACGACCAATGCTCTGTCTAACCATTTTTGATGCCGCACGCTCACAACTACCATCCAAGCCTCCAACAAGAGCTCTACTTTCCAAGTTCCCTTTTCGGACGATAGCTTGGGGATTTCCAGCAGATAATTCTGCTGAATCTCCATCTCTTTGAGATGATTCAAAACCATGGACTACATTGCACCTGGGACTAATGACTTCCTGTTTAAACTTTTTGGACGCCTTTACGCAACGATCAGAACTGTCCTTTGATATGGGTTCAGTTTCGCTGTATTTTCTTTCATTAACAGTAAAGGTATCGATTCTCCTCTTAGAAGGCACCAGAGTCCTCGGTTGATTATCTTGCAGGCCACTCTCATTGCCCCATGAAAGAGGAATTGCATTCTCATTTGGTAAAACATGTTCATGTTGACCATCAGTGCCTCTTACTTCATGACTCTGCTTAATGCCATTTAAATCAACAGTATTAAAACGATCTCCATCTCTGGAGTGACTGCCGACCTCCAATCCACTCTTTTCTCTCAAGGATGCACAAAGAGGATTGGTAGTATCTAGAATAGCATCCTTAATCTGATAGTCAATTAAACACAAAGCAAATCCCAATTCCCACATAATCAGACAGGTACATTGCAGATGTGCAAACTTATCAAATTCCACATATAAATTAAGATTAGCTTACTTGTTGCAGAGCACATTTTGGCAAGCAAGATCTTTTCTTGGTAATAAATGACTGAACATCCCATTTGGACACCTCAGGCCCAGCCATTTTTTGATCAGATGAGACCTGGTCAAATGTACATAATGCACATCTAAGCAAGTGAAAAAACAGCATCATTCGAAACTCTCAAGCGAAGAACGGCCTTGTAAAATGAATTACTAAAGCTAAAGAATAAACATCATTCAATAAACTGAGATACTGAATCATATGATCTAAATTTAATAAGTAAAAATTAGATACTTACCCCCGAGAATAAGCGACGGAGGACATCTTCAGAGCGAACTGATCGGTCAAATTCAATTTTATCACTCAGAACTAAAGCGACATCGTTTGCATTTGACATTTCCTGGACAGACAAGGTCTCCAAGAATCTCAAAGAGACCAGTTCCCTTGCATTTCTCCCCATATCATCTGAAACTTCAGGAGTCTGCTTAACCAAATCTGATATGCATAAACCAGAAATGTCAAAGTAGCCATTATCTCAGTTAATAAAACAGCTTTTATGTCACAAAGCAGTAGTAATTTCAGACATACCGATGAGTAAAGACGTGTCTATCTCATTGGAACTTGCCAATGTTTCAATCACCCATATCCACGGTAGATTTGACGTGCTAAGCTTGGTATCCATGAAAGACTGTTGGAGTGCTTCCGAGATCATATATATGATTGTCACCCTCCCTCACATTTATGTTATCTCAGATAACTGTGTAACGCAAAGATAGATGACACAAAGGTGTCGTAAATAGACAGCACAATCAGAGAATAGCACACCTATATAAACAACAACAACAACAACTACCCAGTAAAATCCCACAAAGTGAGATCTGGAGAGGGTAATGTGTACGCAGACCTTACCCCTACCCTGATAGGGCAGAGAGGCTGTTTCCGATAGACCCTAATATTCTTAATTTTACGAAAATGTATGAATAAGACCCATCTAAATCCTTCAACAAGAAGGCCAAGCTAAATTGAGGTTCACCAACAAAGGGGTATGGTGGAATGGATGGGATCCCTTCATCCTTAATCAGAGGTCTTAGGTTCAAGCCCCGGGAATAGAGGTATGGAATGGAGATACCCTCTGGTTGGGAGCGCACTCCCTCTTTAACGAGTCGTACATGGTGGGAATCTGGATTAGTCGGGCAATTGATTCCGGTGATCAGATGGTTATACAAAAACAAACAAAAAAAACCACTAAATTGAATATCATCTGCCTAAGCATTTGTGGATAGAATTATCCGGTACCTGCGCTGGTGGGAGGAAGCAGGTACCTCATTTAATAGTCGAGGTGCACTTAAGCTGGTTCATACACCACCGTCATACAAAAAAGGTATCATCTTAAAGGGGCGGTTTGGAGGAGTCTGCTAGGTAAACACAGCTACATAGTACTTCTCTCAAACACAACCACAATAACATGAACAACCAACCAAAGGATATAACACATTTACTTAATTTCTATGTAAGCCAGCTTTTACCGACAAAATAGATGTAAAAACTAAACGATGGAAATAAAAAATTACTTCAATCTCAACTAGAAATGTTGAAAATTCCCCAACTTTCGAAAAGGTTTTCGTTACCGGCTTGGAAAAATGATACATACTCAACTCACCTTTGTAAGTAAAATATCCTTGTAAGGCTACAACAACAACAACAACTATTACGCCTCATTCTCAAACAAGTTAGGATTCATATAGCTATTACGCCTCATTCTCAAACAAGTCGGGCTATATGAATCCTCACTGACCACGTTACTCCATTTAAACTCGTCTCATGCCAATATTATGCAAATACAAATAAAAAGTCTCAGAGTCTCTGTATATTTTCTATACAACTATTACGCCTCATTCTCAAACAAGTCGGGATTCATATAGCTATTACGCCTCATTCTCAAACAAGTCGGGCTATATGAATCCTCACTAACCACGTTACTCCATTTAAACTCGTCTCATGCCAATATTACGCAAATACAAATAAAAAGTCTCAGAGTCTCTGTATATTTTCTAAACGTATAAATCTCTAAAAGGCTAAACCACTCCTAGAAAGCATATGACCTATGCAGTGGTGAAGCCACATGGTGATAAGGCTGACCACCCTTCGTCGAAAAATTGCACCGTGTACATAGGTAAAATATTACGTTTTAGAGATATATAACACATATTGAACCCCCTTTGTCGGAATTTTTTTTCACTTCTTTTAAATTTGAACGCCATTGCGGAAATTTCTAGCTTCGCCACTGGACCTATGGTAAAAGTGCTAACATCTAATACGTGTTACACCTATTTCTGTATTAAATTCCTTTTCACCTATGGTTATTAAAAAAAACACTAAGAACCGCATATGCTTCAACAAAAACAAAAACAAAAATCATGTTAATTTCTTTTTTCTTTTGACTGAGGACCCTGAAATAAAAGCTGAATATTTCCAAATTTCCAACGAGCAAATAGCAAAAAAATAAAAATAAAAATTAAGATGAGTACTTTGGAATGCATACCTTAAAGGGTGTCGCGGCAAATTGGGGCAACTAATACTTGGTGTTGGAGAGAAAGTGAGAGCTGGGAATGTTGCAGGAGCATAATATTACGAAAGAGTCGGGTCGGGCTCATCGGGTTCGGGTAATTAGGCTCCAGGTTTTGGAAAAACGACACTTGTCCCCTTGAGATTTGAGAAATTGGAAATACACCCCCTTAATGATGATAGTAAAAATTCGATATTCAATTGTTTTATGTGAAAAGATTTTTACACTAAAAAATTATTAATTTTACCGCTAAATTTACAAAAGTGAGAATAGATGTGCAATAGTTTGTACTTGTCACTCGAAATATTTTTTGTATATTAAAAAGATAGAAGGAAAAATTATAATAATAGCCTGTTTAGCCAAGGTTCTCCAAGCCAAAAGTACTTTTTTTTCCAAAAAAGTATTTCTTTTTTTCAAAGTTGGAAGTGTTTGGCCAAGCATTTAGACGAAAAAAGTGCTTTTGAGCAGAAGCAGAAACAGTTTTGGAGAAGCAGAAAAAAGTAGCTTCTCTCCAAAAGCACTTTTGAGAAAAATACACTTAAAAGCAGTTTTTAAAAGCTTGGTCAAACACTAATTCCTGCTCAGAAGTGCTTTTAAGTAAATTAGCCAAACACAAACTGCTTCACCAAAAGTACTTTTGAAAAAATCACTTATCAAATTAAGCTAATTTTTGCAACTTTGCCAAAAAGGCTATAAGATGTTGCCAAATGCTAAAAGCACACATCATTCCATACATACACCAAATCAGCTTTTGCAATAGTACTGAAACACTCAGAAAATCCTCTTCCCCTAGTTTTTTTTGGGGCGGAGGACTTTTTTTTATGGGGGGGGGGGGGGGGGGGGTTTGGTTTCAAGATTCACAATACTCAATTTTAAATATTTAATAGTAACAAGTTAATTATCATTTTTACCAGGATATCGGTCTCAACTTTTGGCCTTCCCCTTAGACATTTTCTCTTGAGGCACCTTCTTGGAAATTTAAACTAATGGTCGTTTATGTCCCTCTACTTTGCTTTATTATATAAGTCAATCCTTCGTTATACTTTCAGACTATAAAAATCTCTATCGTCAGCCAAAGTTCTACATTTGTTCTCTTTTTTGACGAAATGGGACACGTGGCAGATTTGAACTTAAAAATCTATTCCACAACTGAACTAACCTGCCCCGACCAATGACCCATCGGATCCCCCAACTCTAAATTAAAAACCTGATAACCTAATAACCCTCCCCTCATCGTAAACCAACCACTGATAAATCAATAGCGACCAAATTTAGCGGTCTGGTGTTTTCTCTCATCTCTTTTCTTCTTAAACATATGCGTTAGGACTGTTTAAGTCGTCGAAAGGCATAAAATATTGGAGAATAATTGTTCATCGAAGATGATATGCCATTGTGGAGAAGTTACCAATCATTTCACTTCGAAAACTCTCCTAAACCCAGGAAGGAGATTCTACAAGTGTCATAAACCTGAGGTAATTATATTTTTATATATGTTAATATCCATTATTTCAACAGTTGTTTGAAGTTGTTTGTGTTTCGTTTAGAATGAAGGATGTGGTTTCTGGCAATGGAACGATGAAGAGTTCATTGATGCTGCGTTAATTGCAATTAACAATGTATGAGTAGAAGCTGCGAATCGAGAGATTAATATGTTGAATATTTCTTTGGAAGCTCTTAAAGTTGAAAGGGATAGCTTGAAGTAAAGGGTTGAAGTATTAGAGGCTATGAAGAATCTTGCAGTTAAAAAAGCTATGAAATTAGAAGATAAAGTGTTGAAGATGAAGATGTTCATCATAATTTTAAGTGCCTAATTGTTGGATTTGCTTCCTTGTTTATGAAGTGAATTACTTAGGACAATCTTGTATCTGTAATATTTTCATTTAGTATTAATGGCAATTGTTAGTGACTTTTTTTGGCTAAGTAATGTTTGTACGATTGGGATTCTAGCCGTTTACTATTTCAACTGACAATTAGTTGTTTACTCTTTCTAGTAGAATTTGTTATGTTAGTAATATGGGTGACACTTCATGGGAAGAGCACCACAATTAAAGTGAAGTGCAGAATAGGTAAAAATATGGTTAGTAACTTCTATGTGTGTATCTTTTGTAGATCCATACTAGGCTGATACTTTCAACAACATGGCCAAAGAAACTCCAATTCAAAGAAATTAAAAATGAGAAGGTAAGAACAAAATAAGATTACCCTTGTCATGAAAAACATTCATGGTATAAAATATAAGAATTTTACATACACAAATGTCACTTTAGTGGTGATAATACTATCTGACATCGTAGAGCACACATTAGTTGCTACTCTGTTGAGCATACTTGTCAATGCTTCAAGTACTGTTAATACTAGTCAAAATAATGCTGCTATAATAATTATGTAACTGCACAACTTCAGCTTTTCATATTCCGCAGCTACAAGCCTTAACCAAAAGGCACCATTGCAATATACTGATAATACACTAATTAAGCGAACAAACTATATGAATTACCAAGTGAGAAGTTTGACAATTACATCAAATCAAAAAAGTGGATGCTATATTATAACTGCAAAAACTTACACAACCTAAGTCATAACATGACATCCACCTCTAAAGTCACACAACCAAAAAATTATAAAGTACCGTTGATAGTAGGCTATAATTATGCAATTTAGATACTATTTACACTATAATTTAATCGCACTTTATCAATGTTTGAATGTTAAAAATAACAAAATGCTCTAATTAAGAGTTTTATTTTTTGCAGGAGCCACTCTGAACTATGAGGAAGCTAAAGAGTGTTTTAGAGTCAATATGGAGCGTGGAAGGCTAATCGGAGGTTAGCACCGTCGAAAAGGAGAAAGAAAAGCTAGTGGCGAAGTCCCCTCCAGGTGCGCGACTGCGGATTGACCGCGCACTGAGGCAAAACACTGGGCGAAATCCGCGGTCGCGGACGAGCTGACGGAAGCCAATAACCCAGGGTCAATTATGTGATTTCCAAGGCGACTAACCTAAACCTATATGAAGCCTAATTCGCCCAGAAGAGAGGATAGCTGTTTTTAGAGAGATTTTGAAGGCAAGAACACGGGAGGAAGACAGAGAATTTCCTTAGAGTTTTCATCTTCTTCTTCTTAATTCCATTGTTGATTATGACTTTATATAGTGAATTTTTATCTATTAGTATGAGTAGCTAAACCCGTCATCTAGGGTTGATGGAACCAATTGTTGGATGAAGTCTTGACTCTGTTTTGATATAATTGAGCCGTTTTTACTCTATGATTGTTCAACTACGTGTTATCTTGTGATTAATTAAAAGGGCCCTTGATTAATCATGTCTAGTTATCTTGTGTTGCTTGAGAAAGAACACTTGGTTAGATTGTTGTTGAACAACACCACTTTCGGGTAAGTTAAGAGATTAATTACTTGAATTTAAAAGCAGGATTAGAGATAACAAAGCTTTGGTAGGATAATTCTGAGTTGCATAAATTGTTAGCTAGAGTAGTTCGAGAGAATACTTCTAGTAAATTATCGTAATTGATCGAGATAATTGCAGTAGCCCAGAACTCATATTCCTTATAGAGTGTTACGACGAGATTATAGCTAACGTGTCAGGAATTAATCCGGCAATTGGGGAAATCAATAACCCTAGACCATTTTACCATTGAATTCAACTCTATTCTTGATTATTGCTAGTTTTATTGTCATTTTTCCTTAGTTAACTAAATTCTACTCATTATCCATTGCATCCGGGAATTGTTTGAGCTTATCATTAGCAATGTTAAAAGTTGTAGTAAATAGGTTAGTTCCTTGTGGGATTCGACTCCGGACTTGAACCGAATTATGCAGCGATCGCTTAGTCCTTTTTATAAGGCATAGTTGGGCGTGATCAAATTTTGGCACCGTTGCCGGGGAACTAAGGGTGTTATTTATTACAACTTGGAAGAATTTCTAGGATTATTAGTTTAGATCAATTTTCTGTGGTGTTAAAAATATTTTCATTGAAACTCTCACGTTTGAACTCTCCTGTGACTCAGGTGCATACCTAGAAGCTCCTTGAGAACTGGTGAACTCTTTGAAGGACTCTCAGATCCCGAGAAAGCATTTCGGACATTGAACCGGGCTAACAAGAAGGGCAAACGCTAAAACAAAACGAACAATTCAAAATTGAAATGGGTGATGTAGACAACGTCAACGGGAATAACATGAATGATCGAGATGACGCAAACGTCAGAGTGGTAGCACCTCTTATGTCGGAAGCTGCTCTTTATGATTGGGCACAACCAACTGCTGATAACCTGGCCACAACAATTGTGGTTCCTCAGATACAAGCGGAGACATTCCAGATTACCAACAACATGTTGCACCTGTTGCAGAATAAGGGGTTGTTCTCAAGGTCATACATCGAAGACCCACAACATCATCTGAAGAACTTTATATCAATTTGTGTCACTCAAAGACAGCCGAATGTGACTCCTGAAGCAATCAAATTGTTACTGTTCCCATTCTCAGTGACTGGAGAGGCTCAAACTTGGCTGAATTCGCTCCCAATAAACTCCATTGCTACTTGGGAGGAACTAGTCAAGCAGTTCTTAAACAAGTTTTATCCACCCAACAAAACTACGAGGCAAATTGATGAGATATTGAAATTCAAGCAGAAACCGACTGAGACTTTGCAAGAAACCTGGGAGAGGTTTAAGGGTATATTGGTGAAGTGTACGCACCATGGAAACCCGGATCAGATGCTGGGATAGAGATTCTATATGGGTTTGGCTGACGGTCTGAAGGCCAATGTAGATGCTTCCGCCGGGGGTGTATGCTTGAGCAAAAGATTCACAGTGTAAGATTCTCCTTGACAAGATGTCTCGGAATTTAGGCTGGATGATGAGAGATGTAACACTTACTCCAATAGTGCATTCTGTCACTCTTGACCCAAACAATACAAATGCAGAAAACATAGCCACTCTCATGACCCAGATGAACTTGCTGACAAAGAAAATCGATGAGATGGGTACGAAAGAGGTGCACATTGTTGATACCACAAATGGAGGCTTATGCACTCCTTGCATAAACCAGTCATA